TAACTAGGTGTGTTTTGAGTCAGGTTATTAATAAAAAGCCGAACAAAGAGAAATGTTTGCTTTTCAAATCCAATTTTATTTTTAAAAATCTTCAAATGTATAAAAACTCACGAATAACTGCGCAAAATACGTTGGGTGAGCCTTTCTACGTCAAGCTGCGGGATTTTTTAACGCCATGCAGGGCGAAAGACTACGGACAACGAGTAGAGTGTTCACGTGTATTTTCCGTCAAACCATCAGATTTTTATAGGATTCATTATTCCACTGCCTTATTCCCATTGTTATTGAGGGTCTTTTCCATTTGTTATCCAAACTTCCGGCATTAATGTCTTTTCGTCTTACGCGCACACAATAATTTGTATCCGCTTGGTTCTAAAGCGATCAAACCAGGATACCACAGAGCAGCTTTGGTCTTTTTTCGTCCTAGTGCTTTTGGCCTTGTTGGAAAGATTGGAAAATTTTTTTTGCTCAACTTTCTCGAGTGTCCGCATCAGTTATGCAAATAACAGGCGGTCGCTTTTTAGTCCGCTACAGTGTGTTCTATAGCTAGCAAATAAACAACCTATCACACCTCGCGTTATAGTCTAAGACCACATCCAATCACAGTGCGCATTATAAGCGTAAGAACACTCTGTCATTCCGTCCTTCCTGTGTCCTGATTGAGTCCATAGAAATATGTCAGATGAATAATGACATGAAAAAAGTTTAATGAAAAACAAATCTCGTGTTGTTCAAATATTCAGTTAAGTCTCTTCTTCCTTATTAGAGATTTAAATAAATGAACGCAGACAATATAGCAATAAAAGGTTCAATAAAAAGAGCAACCTATTTTTCCCAAATAACATTTAATCACTTTACATCCTTTTTAAGTAGTGCTTGTTTCACATGAAAAAAATATCAATCGAAACGTATAACATGAATTAAGATGAACTTAAACAATATAACTGTTTCTCAGGATTTTTCCTCTCCGTTAACTTAGGCCCCTATGTATAAAAAGCTGTAAATCCGTTTCCAAAATTGCGGTTTTTAGGGATAATATTTCATAGGCGACTGATTGGTCGTTGCCCTTGTAATCATCTTTGGTTATAATCATGTTTGGTTTTATAATYTTGTGATTTGCTTTACAGTTTTCAATTTCATTAAGTTCACAGAAGAGTTTAATTAAAATTTGGTTTTATCATAGACATAACCATAATCTATTCATCTTTCCGGTAGAAAACATGTTGCAGACATATATAACTAGCCGGGTTCCCTACTGATAAAGAGAAACTCTCGCTGGTTGGCCGTATATATCCAGTTTTCTATACACGGACAGATCCTAACCAAAACCTAACTACTCGCAGACTTAAGAGGACCAAAGTGATCGAGGAAGCACTACAGCACGGTGAGTTGCGACACACAGACAGATTCAGTTAGCCTGTTTCTCGATTTACGACATTATCTCTCTAAAATATGGTATCAATTACCTTTTTGTGTGCGAAAGCGTAAAAAAAAACAAAATATAACGATATCTCGACCGAACCGATGAAAATTCAAAACAATCAGTGCGATTAACCTAAACCATGATTCAGAGAGACTATCAGTCGCTGGTTTCGTGTAGTCAAATTTTATAATTATAATAGTGATGGAAACTTTAAAATACTTGTCTAACTTTTAAGCAAACTAAAGATCAAAGTGGTCTCCAGCCTGCTGACGCTTCTTATTAAACCTTGCAGTGTTGGATAAAGGATTTTTAGAGCTTTAATTGGCTAAGCGGCCATTAAACCACATCAAACAATGANCCTTATCTCTCTAAAATATGGCATAAATTACCTTTTTGTGTGGGAAATTAAAGTGTAAAACAAAACAAAATTTAACGATTCTCGACCGAACCGATGAAAATTCAAAACAATCAGTGCGATAAACCTAAACCGTGATTCAGAGAGACTATCAGTCGATGGTTTCGTGTAGTCAAATTTTATAATTATAATAGTGATGAAAACTTAAAAATACTTGTCTAACTTTTAAACAAACCAAAGATCAAAGTGGTCTTCAGCCTGCTGACGCTTCTTATTAAACCCTGCAGTGTTGGATAAAGGATTTTTAGAGCTTTAATTGGCTAAGCGGCCATTAAACCACATCAAACAATGACAGCCGAAGAAAAATCGTGTCGCGACAGAATTGATTGGAAAAAGATTAAAGAAACCTTCTAAACAATGCAATATTTTGGGGGGTTTTCCTGTAATAAAAGCAGTTATTCCACTTGCACTTTTTGGATACGAGGTGATTTTAACCATTAGCCCTTGTTCACGGTTAGCTTTTCGCATTTGCATTACACACACAAGTCGGCATGCATATGACGCAATTCTGGGCAGTTCTTTTTCCTCGCATCAATCCACCCTCTTGAATAGAGCTATTCAGCGCTTGGTTTACTATCCATATTCTCCTATCCTATCGAGATTGTATAGTAATAGGCCAGTGTCAATATATTCAAATTCTCTCATGGCGCTAAGGCTAAGGGGAATGGTTTGTTCAGCCTCGATTTGAGCTCTTTTTATTTTAGTCCTCGGTGCCTCGGAGTCATGTTCTTTCATTTAACTCGAATGATTCATGCTCACGCTTTAGAGGCTATGTTATGAGGTAAATTTACCACACCGCAAAAAAGTCATGTCATTAATTATTTACTTACAGTCTTAAATCATCTCTTCGCCCAAATTGTTTATTGTTATTAATATTGCGAAACAGGAATCGTGATGATGTTGGTGCACTCGCTGGTTCTTGTTTTGGCCAGTCTCACTTTTTGCTTCGTGCAGAGCGGGAAAGGTTAGTTCGTGTTACTGATAGAAACCTTAGTTAAATGGTCTGACAATACTCGCTGAATTGTCACTGAATTTTACTGCCACAAAAAGTTGATATTCAACGCGCGTTCGAGAAAAGCCATTCCAGTAGAGTCAACTGTCGAGACTGTCAGGAGCCAGCGAATAGAAATCCAGCTAGAATCAGAAAACTTTATTTGAACCTTGTGAATGTTTTCGGCTTCGTGGACGGCGGCAATGGTTTTGAAACATGATTAAATTTTCATTGTTTCTAATTGTTTTTGAGTTGTTGTTTTGTTGTCGCTCGAACGTAATATCACGCAAAGCCTCGCTTTCAAGAGTTACAATTCAGATGACCACTGACCAGTAATAACTACTTTTTCACCTGAAAGATGGCTGCCATGCCAACTTCGCCCCACAAGTTGTGGAATAAATTTGTAAACAAGTAACATTCTATGGAATATTGCGATAAATCTACCAAACATTTTTGGACAGTGCAACAAGAAGTTAGCAATATTGTAGACCTGAATCGTGAGGAAATTTCGAGGAAAAATCGGTTAATAATATTTAATATAAGCAAAACAATTATAGTTAGTTCGTAAATCTAGTGCTCTTTGAAGTTGACTGGTAAACTTATTCCCAGGGCTTGTGGAGCCACTCGGGTGTCCAGAATGTTATGCCGAAGGAGAAAATGCTCAGGAGGATTGTGAGAACAACCTTACCTTTGAGGATTGCAAGAGAAATGAGGTTTGTGCGGTTGGCAGCTTCAAGAAAGGTGACGGTTTTGAATTTCATCGTGGATGTGTGGCCAAAACCGAATACCAGCTACACAAAGCTTATTGTAAAGCCAACAAAGGATCTTGTGTCGTAGCAATGTGCAAAAAGCCAAACTGTAGACCTGAGCTTCCTCTCTCTGGATGACTGTGTATACATTCCTGTGTAAAGAGGGAGAAATGGGTACAATAAAAGCTATGTAACTATAGAGAGCGAAGGAATCCGTTCTTGAGCTATTTTGTTCAGTAAATGACAATTTTAAAACCAAGAGATCAAGACCCTCTGTATCCTAGGACCGTTTTGAAATTGCAACTTCCAGTACACAAATTCTTGAGACCCATGCTAGTCTCAACGAGCTCGATATCAATCAACCCTGAACTAGGCTGGGAAACACAGCGGGCCGTTTCTGGCAAATTTTTATCTGTCAGCTTCTCCCTATTATCGTACTTGACTACCTCGCTGAAAAATTTCTGTCAAAATTTTCCAGCCAGCAGACATAGTAACCGGGTTCACACACACTGAACACACTTGTATGTGGTCTCAGGGCCATATCCGGATATCATCAGTTGGGGTTGTGCCCGGGGGGTTGTGAGAGACGGTGGGGGAATCAAGAAAATCAAACTACCAGAATCGCTTACCAGCCATCTAGCAATGTATTTTCACTCAAAGTTGTGAAAATTTCTGTTGGATTCCTTTTACTCAATTTTGCAAAATAGAGTCTAGTCAGACTTCTGGATAAACTAAAAACAAGCTCGCCCGTCAATACTGAGAGATATCGACAAAACAGAAGCTTTGTCAGTCGAAGCAATTTTTGCGTTTACAGTGTCGATGGTTACTTCTTAACTATGTACGGGTGTTATTGTTATGACGTATATCATTCTCCAAGGGCTTATTTAAATCTAATGTAACGTCTGTATTGTTCTATGGTCCTGAAACATGGAGACTGACTAAGAAGATCGTGACAAAACTACATACTTTTACAAATAGATGCCGCGCAGAATCCTCCGTATTAACTGGCCCTCTACCAGCAGTAACCATAACCTGTGGGACATCACGGGTCAAGCACCTTTGAAAGAGCAGACCATTAACAGGAAACGGTCACGGATAGGCCATACACTTAGACGACCGACGGACTGCATTGCCCGGCAAGCCCCCTGGTGTAATTCGCAGGGTAGCAGACGGAGAGGGCGACCACGACGGAGAAGGGGAAACGTAACTGGCTCGCTCTGATCTTCAACAACTTGTACGGTCATCTTGTCAGTCGAAATCAAGGACACATTTTGAATGGTGGTCTATGAAAGACTCTAAACTAGAACAGCAATGTACCCAAATGAAAGAATGCTTCGAAGGTGTCATTTAAATTACTGGAATGACTTGATTTCATAATCCAGTTCTCGTGTCTAGTATTATATTAGAGAAAAATTGTAAATTGTCCTACGGAAGACCAGTTCAAACTCCACTGAAGTTACGGAAGGGGTAATTTGCAGAACGCCGAACGCCGAATGCACTGTTTGCTTACGGTTAGTTTCACTTATATTTGCTTGCGGTTAGCTTTTATTTGTTGGACTGGGCCATATGCAATATAATGCTGTCCTTAACAAACAAAACTAACCGCAAGCAAACATGAGTGAACTAAACCGCAAGCAAACAGTGCATTTGGCGTTCGGCGTTCGGCGTTCGGCGTTCGGCAAAATACCCCTGTCGCTGAAGTTTGGAGCGACGGCTGATTCATATGGCGACCTTCGTGGTACACAATTGCCGACGTCGAAGTTCTGCATCGAGAATACAGGAAGCTCTAGCAATCTTAAAACGGGGACGTTAACTATGAACTTTTTTGTTCAGATGAAGATTAACTGAACAGCGATTTGAACGAAAAACAGATTTCGAAAATAAAAAAACGTGACAATAAATTCCAAACACGGTAAAAGCCTGCTAAGAAAAATGGACCGAGTATTGCCCAAGATTTTCGCAGTATGAGCCCACTAGACATTATTTTTTTCAAAAGGTGCGTCGATCATGTTTATCACAATTCGGTAATAAAAAAAATGAGGGTCACTAAGCTCGTTTTTTAGTTATAAGCACTTAAAGCTTAAATTAAGGGGGGCTGTTAAAAGGTTTTTACTGTTGCTATGGTATTTCTACAATCTCCTCATCGCGAGAACAACATGGTGTTCTGGATTTTGCCTATTGTTTACGGTCACGCGTTGCGTATGCGACGTTGACCAATCCGCAAACATTTTCCAAGTTTCATCTAAGGTCATTACCTTGTGCATTTAGTAGATATTTCGTGCTGTTTGCATTTCATTTTTGCGCTACACCGTGCTGATCGATCGAGATCCAACCGGGTCGAGACAACTGCCCATGGTTGTAATTCTTGACTTCAATTTGGATGCTTACATACATGTTTTCCAGCGTTTGACACTGCTTGCATGTTTTCCCGCGCTCGGCACTGGTTTACTTTTTTGTATGCATGTTTTCCGGCCGCTTGGCACCGGTTGCATGCTATGCTTCTAGTTATGATTTGTTCTTGCACCTCTGCAAGTGGTTCTTGTAGCTCTGTGCGCTTATATCTCTCCGACTGAAGTCCCTGAACACTAAAATCGTCTTAAAAATAACACGTGGAAGGGTTTCCTTTGGACAAGTTTTCATTTATTACTGAATCGCTACATTTTATATAACTCGATTACCACAGCCATAGAAGCAAAGCCGGCTGGAATTCCTTGCACAATTACCAGTTAACACGGAATCTAATTTCTACACCAATGTAAAAAAGTGGATTAAGTCTTTTTTTTTATCTGTAATCAGAGTTAAGCTTCAAAATAATGCGAGTCTCCTGTTTGCAAGATCCCGGCCATGTTAGCTGGCCTCAATCAGCAGAATCCCATTCCATAACACCTGCACTGCCAAGCCTTGTCGCTCATCCAGCAGGTGCTTGGACACCTCTGACAACTACCCCCAGTGTAACCCAGCTCTTTGCACCTGTGAAATTAAAGTAAAGTACTAGTAAAGCAATATCTAAGGCCGACTCCTTTCTAGTACAGACAAAGGATACTGATACTGAGAGCTTTTGACACTATTTTAGAGCTTTACTATATGTTGAATATGGGGGAAAATACGGTATGTGAAGCAACAAGGCTGCAAAAACAGGTTTTACAATAAAATTAAATAAAGATAAATAAAATACAAAACATTTAAGTCGGCAAGGCCACAAACCTTTGTGGCTTTACTCCACTGATATTTAAAAATAATTTGCTATGGGTCTCATGGAACTTGATGTTTCCATAACAACGAAATTTTGCAAATTTTTGAACCTAGTCCTCGGGCTCTCTGTCATGCTCCCGGTCGCTTAACAAAGGGAGGGAACAGGACTAAACTGAAAAACTTCCGACTGATGCTGCGACTTGGACAATCTACGAAATTCTTAAACTCAACGTGTGACGAAGAAAGGAATTTATACCGGTCATTGCAGCTCTTCCACAATCTTCCAGTCCCCCACCTACTCCACCGGGAACATCTGCTCCAAGTTTCATAGCAAGTACCTAGAGCACAATCAAACGTCATTCTATAAAGACAAAACAATGTTACCCCCATCACAACCTCCTCGAATATAAGCCATTGTATTGGCCCCTCGCCGGTGACGTGCTCCTGGCCCCATAGGGGAGATCCTCGTGTTAAAAAACATGATTAAAGGGGCAGGCATGCACGGAAAATTTAAAGATGCTAAATTTGGCCTTTCTCAAATCTACACACGTATATTTCACTTGTAGAAGTCTATCGATTTGGACAGTGTTTGGGTTAAAGATTTTCGCCCATATCAATTTTCTTTACTCTCGCAAGTTCTCGCGCGTTTGGAGATGCGCCACACTCCCGTTTTAGGTGCAGGGATCCCAACCAATGCTTACCTAACTTTTAAAGATGCTACTTTTAGCCCTGCCCCAAATCTACACACGTGTATTTCACTTGTAGGAGTCTATCGATTTGCACAGTGCTTGGGTAAGAGACTCTCGCCCCTATCAACTTACTTTTCTCTAGTAAGTTCTCGCGCGTTTAGAGTTGCGCCAAACTCGCGTTTTAGGTGCGGGGATCCCAACCAATGCTTACCTAACTTTTTAAAGATGCTACTTTTAGCCCTCCCCCAGATCTACACAGGTGTATTTCAATTTTGGAAGTCTATCGATTTGCACAGTGCTTGAGTGAGAGATTCCCGCCCATATCATTTTTTCTATTCTCTAGTAAGCTCTCGAGCAACTCCGTCAGTGTCACAAAAAGTCTTACAGGTCTTGGATATTTAAGCTATATATAATGAACAGCAATATAAATGCATAAAGTGCTGTTTTAAATTTTTCGTTATCAAATATTTTGTTCTCGGAAATATTAGCTTGTCAAGCTACTCTGAAATTCGAGCTTAAATAAAGTTTATGTATGTATGTATGTAGGGACATAATGGCAGTACTCTAGAGGGCCATTACCCCTTGGGGGTCCCATCATACACATATGTATATATTGTATATATTTTATATTCCTGATTGCCTGTTTTATACCAGCTGCTCCCTTAGGTTCAGCTAATCNGTAGGTAGGTAGGTAGGTAGGTAGGTATCTATGTATGCTGCCCTTTCCGACGAACACCATTCTAGAAATTCAAGTAATAAACCAGCTTTCGACTTAACTTCAGGGGTTGGAATACAGAATATTTCATTTACCCTCAACCACTGAGATTTGCATCATGGCGGAAACTAGGAACAACACAAGCAAACAGGATCCAACACGAAAAGCCTGGAAAAAAAAAGATCAAATAAGCAAACGGATAATTCTGACTATTTACTACTGACAGCTCGTAGCTTTCATTGGCATTCATCAGCTCTTCAGTTATTGACATAGAATTTTGAGTCCGTCAGTCCATGAAATTATATTGGAGCCAAAGTTGTTTCGCTCGATAGTTGACAGACATGCAAATGAATTCTAAATCATTTCATTTTTCTATCTTACCGTGAGTGACTCGAAGAAATAGAGATCAATGAAATTAGGATTATCAAACAAACTTATGTACCATTATTTCTCGTGAAGCAACAGAACGTTCTATTCGGTTCCAATTTCCAAGTTTCCAAAGGTGGCGCCTCAGACTCGGTTGCAATGGTGTACTTGAGCTGACTGACGATACAGACCTTAGCTTTTATCATTTATACCGTGGCGTCAAGCTTTCGATCTTCTCTGGGAAAACAAGGATGTAAGCCTCGGACCTTGCTCACGGCTAATATCAGTTTCGTACCCCATCGTGACGCAATGTCCTTATGACAGTCCAGAGATCGATAGAGAATTATGATTTAAAATATGCGTCGTTATATTAGCTCAACTTATCTAATACCTTGAATTTCAACAAATCCAGAAGATGTTTTCTCTCCTGGGACGTTCTTTAACTATTGACTTTGCTTTTAATGTAAAAAAAATGTTGATATTTGAGATTTAGATAAGTCATTAAATCATGACCGTAACGGTGTTTGGATATCTGATCTTAATTAGCATAATCTTTACGATTTCTGCTTCCTTAGTTTTAGTTTCGATTGTTTGAGAAGATATATCAAACACGCAAGAAGTTTGTCAAAAATACTCCGCCACGCGTCGTGTTTTCAACTCTCTTCTCGGTGTATGAAAATGCGGCCAAACACGATCTTTCGTGTTTGATAAATTACTTTTCCTCTACTTTGGTCTAGTGACCCAACCTAACATGAACATGGCTCGAACTCAATGTAGCGATCACTGCCAAACCCAGCTTATCAATAGAGGTTCGAGATCTCTAGATATGATTCGCATGGTTAGAAACATAGCTTCCTTAGCAGCAGTTCAGTAAATCAGGGTGACTTTTCTGAAGGCTTCCATTTGAAAACTTACAGCTGGCGAAGTAAAATTGCCAACACTGTTGGACGATGTCGTTACAGTACACATGAGCGGGAATTTGAGGTGACTCAAAGTCTCGCAGTTCTTACATTAATTTTGATCGAAGATTTGAAACGAAGGCCTTTGATTGTCAGCAATTATTCAGACTTTGCCGAGGTTATTACCAAAAACAATTTCTCCCGAGTAACCAGGGGAATATACATGCCAATTGTTGAAATATTTTTTGCTGTGCTTTCATTTTTGTCCTATTTCCATTGCAGCATTTCGGTGACGTAACCGACACGAATAGCCTTGCTTTCTCGCTAGACCGAAGAGACCCGACCCAGACGGACGGCGGTGAAATATCGAGGCCTGGGAATAAGGCTAACGTTTGAAATTAGGTTAAGCGAGAGGAATACAAAATAAAGGAAACAGTCATACTATCTACATGTTCCAAATACTTTATTGTACAATTATCCCTCTATAAAAACAGTTAATTACAAAAGCGAGTTTCATCTACCAATGCTATTCAATTCAGAACTTTTACCGCGCCAGAAGCCCGCTCCAATTTACATTACCACTGAATGTGACATGATTTACAAGATAAGCCCTAAATCGACTACAACGAATGACTCCGAGCGAATCTCGAGAAATATTCAATGCTAATTGACGTTCATTCATACCAAGCTGTAGGGGCCAGTTTTATTTAATGATGCTTTTAAGTCCACAGACATGGCACATTAAATTATACCGTGTTCAAAATAGCGAGGGTTTACTCAGTGTGTTACCAAACGCCTTATCTACATGCAAGCTACCAAGCTACCAAAAACAAACAAACAAAACAAATAGAAGAAACCACGTCCCCTTCTTAAACATGCTGCTAATGGCCATTTTAAAACGGTGCTTCGTTTTCCTGCGAATCTAAACACGATCTCAGTGAAAAAAGAAAGGAAAAAAAAAACGCTCGAAGACTGACGTTTTGCAAGGAAATTGAACCTCAGACAATCACCATAAAAACGCTTATTTTGTCTATTTTTTGGACCATTTAACTTAAAAGCAAAAATAATTTTCATGGCCAAGACTTTACAACTCACTCATGTAGAATTGTTAGAGAAGATATAATTTTATAACTTATATTAAGAAATTCAGTAATCTTTGCCTTTTACACATATTTCGCAAGTGTAAACCCATTTACTAGAACTTGGAAAACACGGTTAAATTCTCAAACCTTTTTCTCAATCCAAATGCTGGTTCCATTCATAAAATAAACAATTCTTTCGCAAAGATAAACAACTCAGCCTTTGCAATCAAAGGGGAGAAAAACTTAAGTTCTATTAAGCATGCGTTGCGACTTGCTGCTACTCTTAGCTTAAAGTCTTGCTTAGGTTTGACATGTTTTTGTTGGCTTCCAGACTTGCCAGCCAATCAGAACTAACAAACACACGTGCAACTTATCGGCACGTGCCTGTGTTAACTTTGTATACATACGACATGTCTCTTACACGGTGACTGGTCGAGCACTGAGGAACCCAACATAACATCTGTCATAAATTAACCAAGTTAAAAACTGAGCAAGAACGGGATAGCGTATTTGATAGCAATTTTATTTCTAACTTTATCTGCGAGAGAAAACAGCTACAATCCTAATGCAGTAATACTACAAAGATCTGTACAAAATGAAGTGTGATAGCCTCTTCAAGGCTATCACTCCGTTTTCCGTGACTATATTACCAAGACTTGAGAGTGTGAAACTTGCTACTCCGTCGCACACAAAATAAATTTTCAATTATTACTGGTATATAGCAGTTCAAAGTGAGACTGAATCTCCCCTATACAACAAGACAGCAGGTTTTCAAAACTCCCGCCCTGGTGCCCAGTGCCCTTTGTAGAACTCCGCGGATATCGAGGCTATCACGTGATTGGTGGATGGACATAAACTGATCCTAACGGAACAGGCAGGCGACGACTCAAAACTCCAGCAGTGGGATTGTGTATAAGTGGAATGACTGTAAATGTTAGTTCGTCTTACAGCTGGCGCAGAGGGAGTGGGTCTAGTGACGTTATTTCCAATCTGGAAGAGGGGGAATGGGAAGAGATGGATTACGTCACGTCATACTCGCATCATTCGCAGGAAGGGAGGGGGGGGGGCTTAATACACCCATGACACGGGTACCCACTGGGGTGTTCTTCGGAGGCGTTCGAGATCGTCCTCCAGCAGGCGTATGGTGTCCTCGATATCATTGTTGACGATTGTCAGATCGAACAAATGTCCATAAGTCTGACGGAGTGAGTCCGAGTCTTTGGCAAGCCGCTGAAGACTTTCGTCCTGTAACAAAAAAAACAACAACAACAACAACACAAGATGACAAGCTTGTCAAGAGAATCAGAGTGAGCCTGGGGATTTTGCAATCAGTTTCAATTTTCCCGTCCAAATCATTCAGGTTCATGTTTGGTTTATTATCATTAGCTTTGAGTAGTTTTCCATCGAGTGTCGTAAAACCAAAATCAAAGTAATCACCCTAGCCAATGGAAAGAAAAAAAAAACCAACAATCCAGTGAACCAATCAAAACTCAAAGCAAATACATGTAGCCGACGCAAAGCGCGGGAAAACGTGTGCGAACGAGTCACAGTTGCTTTTGGATTTACTCCTGATTGGCTGACAAAGTGGCGTGAGTTTTTCGCAAAGCGTGGTAATGCAAAACCAAGGCGAATGCAAATTGCTATCGACTTTCCAGTGAAAACCGCTCTAAACAATAATAAATTCAAACTCACAGCAACATCTCCATTTGGCGTGGACGAGCCTTTCATGCTGTCGTTTCCAACGATAGTTGGCGCAGAGATGAAGACAACGTACGGAGAGAATTCGGCCGTCCGAAGAACCTTGAGTGCCTGACAGAAAAACCACAATGAACACAATTGGTTAATGCTTGGACGGGCTACGTACATAAGAGTTTCTCAAGAGCTCACAGCTATACAATGTGTATTGACTGGTTCAGCCAAATTCATGGTCTCCACAGACATCACTTTTCAAAATCTCTTGACTTGACCCTGATAAAAATAAAATTTTCCAGGCCAAAGATATACAAAATGTCAGATGTAGCAGCGATTGACAAATTTTCTACAAAATATCCTTCCTCATTAAGGACAAACATCGTTGAAATCACAGTCACCACAAATATTTTTTTCAGCCTTCAGTGGTATTAAATCAGCCGTGTGTAATTATATCAATTTTCCCTGACTTTACTTCAAAATGTCGAGTTTTCCTGACTCAAAGTAAAATTTCCTGACTTTCCTTGACCTTGAAATTTTTTTCCCTGACTATCTCCTGACTTGTGGCAGCCCATTACAGTACCATTCCAGATCAGCATTTATATGTAAATGCTGATCGCCAGTTAATACCAGTGATCCAGTGATCACTGATTGGCCTTTCAGGTTAAATAAAGTCTTTTATTTATTTTATTTTATCAGTTCCATCCCAGCTTCCCATCTAACTTTACGGACTCTCCATTATGTGAGCGTATGCAGCAATTCCCATTTCATTTGTTTGTTGGAGGGCTGGAAAGAAATCGTACTGAGAGGCCTCTCTGGGGGGCTCTCTTTACCTGAGGTTCCACGTCGAGTATAGCTGTAAGGCCCTGATTGAGGTTGTCCCTTATCGTGTCGAGTTTGGTGCCATACATGGCTCCCTGATGTGTTCCATACTCCAGGTACTTGTTTGCCTCTATGTCCAATAACATGTCCTCAGCGGAGACGAAGAAGTAGTTCTTCCCATCCTCTTCCCCGTCTTTTGGTTCTCGTGTTGTATCTGACAGGAAAAATGACCTGAAGTTAGTACACCTTCGTTTGTTCTCGAGGTCAGGAACAATATAGAGCGGTTTTTCAATCGAGTGCCTCGAAAACAAACACTCTGGCAAGTCACAAACGGCGCAGAAAATCCACTGACCCAATCAAAACTCCCAAAAAATATGTGCAGTCAGCACGAAGCGCGCGAAAACTTGCGTGAGCGAGTCACGATTGGTTTTGGTTTTACTTCTGATTGGATAATAAAGTAGCGCGCGATTTTTCAGCCAATCGTTAACCGTGGTGATGTAAAACCGAAGCAGATCCGAATACCTTCAAATGAACACCGCTCTAAGCGCGTTTTAAGTTTAATAGTAGTTTAAGTATCTTCATATGTCCAGTTGGTGGTTTCCTCTAGTGGTTAAAAACATGGCGCTCAATACAGAATCCCATGTCTTAAACTGATTTCTGAAATGTCCAAAGTGCAAAAATCTAGGATGGTTCACAAGTTAACAGAATGTGAATACCTTGAAAATTAACAAATCACCTGACTTAACACGATCAGCACAATACAAAGAAGGGGGTAGTGAGGGGTGGGGGAAAAGGGGTGGGGACAGAAGGAGGTTCAACCCCAGAGGCCAACTTGTTCATTCCCCACCCCCACCACACTAAAACACACTCGCCAGTTTTTCAAGACAACCCTGTGATGGCTGCCAACAGCGAAATGACCTACACATAAGAAACATGTTGAACAAATGAAATCGTACTTACGTGGAATCGGGTAAGAAAATCTTTCGGGGTATTTATTTATGAGCGTGTTTTTTATATGCCTTCTTCCGACACCATGGGCCCCTAAAAGAAACAAAACAGGTCGATTATGAATGACTTGCATCTAAAACTTAATGGCAAACAACAACATTTCTGCCCAACACCATTTGAGCCAGCAATTTTCACTTCAAGATCAGCGGCGTTGCTATGAAACACGAGACATCGAGCAAAGAATGCCGGTATTGTTAAACGCCTGGAAGAATCATTTGGGAAAATGGCGGGTCCTTTTACTTTTTGCCAGAAACCGAACAGGACTGAAACACTTTCCTAAAAAGTTGCTTGATAGCGTGGAAGTACATTATCTACTTCCATCTTCTCAGAGCTTGTAAAACATCTATGTATGGCAAATGGAGTTTAAAAATATTCAATGCCTTACCAAGAAGAACAAGCGTCTTTCGTTTAAAGTAATCCAGCTTCACCACTTCTTCGTAAGTAACCAGATCAAGCTGATCGAACACTGAAACAATAGTTGAAAAAAAACATTTGATTAACAGGAGCTCAGTCACGGTATTTTGAGTTCTTTTGGCCACATACAAAATTACCGTTAAATTGAAGGAAACCTGAAAATAGTAGTTTACTAAGATAGAAAAACACCAAACAAATAAAAAGAAACCATAAAGGAACAAGGATGGTCAAGGATGGGGAAGACTGACACGGATTACTAACGACAAACTTGAAAAATTTAGGCTAAACTTTTTAAGACTCCCAAACCGTGACGTAGCTCCTTTGACATTCTAATCAATTTGAAGGCAAGTTTGTTTCCCGATCAAGTCATACAAACCTGCATTATGTTTAGCGACGTACTTATCCCGACCGCTCTTCTTTTTCTTGTTGAACCAGATGCATGTTGCTGGAATAATAATAGTAAAAAAAAATTAACACGGTACATGTGAAGTTAAGTACTTAGAGCTCAGAGAACAACATTTCTACCACGACAGTCCAAACGTTCTCGCTAAAATCAATCAAACGGACAAAAGAGGAATAGAAACAACGGCTAAAACTGACTGGAAGGGAAACACGGAATACACGCTAAGCAGTATTTTCAATTTACTAGGCAACAAAATCATCTAATTCAAAGATAGATTACAAATTGCAGCGTTTTGGAGTCAAACCTACCCCCCAGTGGATACGATCTGATCCTCATCACAACAATTGTTCACCCCTCCCTGCCTCAATTCCCTTCCCGTCTTAAGAGATTGCCGCGATGCACTGCCGGTGGTAACATTCTACGGTAATAATGCAAAAATTCCCCACCCCTCCTACTGTCAAAAACGCTCTCACCACCATTCTGTTTCCTGGCTTTTTCCGCCGCTAAACACGAAACTCGCCTAAAAATAGAAAAAAGGTGCTTGTTACAACAGGTAGCTAACAGGATGAAATACCACTTGTAGTGTGTCACTACAACATCACTTATAGCACTCGGATTAACACGATTATCTATACTTACACAAACAACACCGTGATGCATTCTCAGTGACTGGGAATGTGCTGAAATACGATCTCTCAGGTCTGTTTGACCATTTCGTTATATCATTCAATATGACGGTGATTTAACAACAAACGACGTTATACGAGACTCAACTTCGACAGCATTCGGCTTTAATCGGAATAACTCGACAAAGACTCGGAATACTAACCATTCCTGTAGCTCGGGCGAGGGAGCGAGTCCAGCAAAGCCGTCTTTATCATCAGCTTTCATAGCCTGCCACCAATATGGGTCGGTTTTGCTCACTACTTGAATAATATCCCCACAAGAGAACGATAGCCCAGCCTGTTGGCATGGAATAAGGTCATCCCCTCTGGGGTCGTAATCAAACAGCGCCCGCACGAACACCTGAAACATTCAGTGGTATGTCAGTACGTTATGTAAAAGAAATGACGAGTCCACAAGGAAGCGCAGATATAGGGATAGTAAAAACAGTGAATACTTCTAAGTCGTCAATAAATATCATATTATAATGACGTTAAGCAAACCAAGTTGGTTTCAAATTTTTCAATTTTATTGCAATGTTTAAATAGATTAATACTAACTGGCCTTCGAACAAACACGCTAAAATGAACTATTGAAGCGAAGACCACATGGTGGAAGAATTCCCNGGGGGGGGGGGGGGGGGGGAGAGGGTGGTGGTGGGTATCCTGCTATGACAAAAGTTTTTTGGGTTACCAAAAACTGATTGAATGTTATTACTATAACTTGGGGAAGGTATTGCTGTGTATAAGTGTATAAGAGAATTAACAAATGGTAAACACCATAGCGTGTACTATTGAGTTATGGATGCACGCGGGAGGTTGCTAAGCACGAAAGAAGCGTAAGAGTCGCACAAGGCGGTAGCCGAGTGCGACTCTAGCTTCTTGAGTGCTCAGCAAACCTCCCAAGTGCATCCATAACTCAATAGTACACGCTATGGCGTTTACCATTTGTTTTATAACATAACATT